TTCTATTCTATTCTATTCTATTCTATTCTATTCTATTCTATTCTATTCTATTCCTAATCTGTTCTGTTCTGTTTTTAGAATAACACACTAGGTAAAGAAACTTTAACTGCAAGGAGTCAGTGACTTTTAGTGCTCCCTGATAAATGATGTTATTGACAAAAGTAAAAAATTATTTCATTGTTTTTTTCCTGTATTACTATCTCCTCTCCTGTGCTCTTGACAGTGTGTTTAGTGGATGGATAATATGTATCTCTCTTTCCCATTCCCAGATTCCAAATTCCCTGCCTTTTTGGCCCACCTCACCACAAAAGCTCCATAGTTTATTAATGTAAGTTTGAATGGATGCTTCTTTAGGGAAACTGCAGGAGTTAATGGAAGAGTTTCAGAAAGGAATAAGAATGCCTCAGGAGTTGTTCTGTGATGGAAATTGGTCTGTTGTTCTGTTAATGCGGATGGAAAAAAACTTACAACGCTTAATAAAAATCTATTCTTTTAGTAAAAAATTGTGAAATAATTTTGGGTGTGTGAAGTTTGATTTCTTTTCCCATCTCTGGATCCCTTTCTGCAAATGGGGGATATACTTGTTTCAATTCAGAAGTGTTGCACAGAGATTTAGGAGTCTATCTGTATAATATCAGGGCAAGAGACCAAGTACAAGAATCATCAAAAGGTAGAGCATATTTAGCCTCCTGGTTAACTTCTTTATTTGGATGTCCTAAAGGCACCTTTGTCTTGACATTTCCCAAACTGAACCCATCCTTTCTGCGGAAGCCTGTGCCTCTCCATCAGTGACACTACTTTCTACTCAATTGCCTAAACCACAAACTGACCTGGGAGTGAACTGTCTTAGACTTGTCCCTCACTTCTCAAATCTAATTGATGAAAACATCTGTTGATAACACTCAACCATTTTTCTATTTCTCACATCTGTTTCCTCTTTTCTGTCCTGGCTCCTGTGGCTTAGTGGAGGCCTCATCATGTCTTACTGGACTGTTGCAGTTGTTTCCCATCTTACTCCTTAACTAGGCAATTTTAAGCAACATTTTGTGTCTAAGTGTATATACCTTTTTCCAGTGAAAGGGCCCATACCTTTTTTCAGGTTCTTAAAGGAATCTATGACACAAAAGGATGGTAAGAACCATTGCTTTAATCCACCGCGCTTAGTAGCTTCTAGAGTAAAGTGTCCCTCTAACATGCTACTCCCCCAACTCCACGGTCCCTTCATGATCTGGCCCCTGACCACATCTCAGCTCATTTACTACCTCCGTACTCCAGCCATAATAAAATGCATCCCATACACATTAAGCTGTCAATATCCATTTCTTCTCATTTGCTTGTACCATTGCTAAAATTCCTTTCTCCCTTTGTTTCTGGTGCAGACTCAACTTATTCCCCCAAGATTCAGCTCATGTCTTTATGATTCTTTTTCTGATCCCCAACTCGGTGATGAGTACAGACTCATCACAGCCAGCCCCTCTAGGGCTTTGCTGCATCTTTGCCCCTAGATTACACTTGTGAGCAGTGACTGTGCTTGACCATCTCTGTGTTCTTGGCACCTACTGCACAGCATGCACTTAGTAAACGTTTGATGAATAAGTCAAGGACACCTAAAACACTTTTGAATAGGTCCTTTGGTACAAAGCAGATTTCAGACTCAAGGCAGAGAATATGTTGGAGGCAAAAACTCAGTAAGATTGAGTATGAGGTTTCAGCCCTGGATGGTATTCACTTAAATGTGTTTTAAAATTGAGCTCTGAGTCACCTTTGAGCCAAAGGGGGATGCTTTGAGCAGAGTCTGAAGCCAGGACTCTAGGGCATTCTTTACTGCTTCTGCCCAGTAACTCTAGCTGGGCTTGGCCTCTCTAACCACTTTGTGCCTTGTGTGTACAGATTCTTTTTTTTTTTTTTTTTTTGAGACGGAGTCTCGCTCTGTCGCCCAGGCTGGAGTGCAGTGGCCGGATCTCAGCTCACTGCAAGCTCCGCCTCCCGGGTTCGCGCCATTCTCCCGCCTCAGCCTCCCGAGTAGCTGGGACTACAGGCGTCCGCCACATCGCCCGGCTAGTTTTTTGTATTTTTTTAGTAGAGACGGGGTTTCACCATGTAAGCCAGGATGGTCTCGATCTCCTGACTTCGTGATCCACCCGTCTCGGCCTCCCAAAGTGCTGGGATTACAGGCTTGAGCCACCGCGCCCGGCCGTGTGTACAGATTCTAAAAGGAAACAGCTGAGCCTCAAGATGAACATTAGAGGACTGCTGAAGCTTGTAAACACTTTATCCTTAAATGAAAAATTATTTATAACATCTTTTGTCTTACATGGGTTCATTATAGCTACAGATGTCTTTTCCTGGCCTTTGATCTTTGAGTGTTGGGATGGTGAAAACTTAACAGTAGGAAATCTTTAGCATTTGGCTTTTTAAAATGACCATTTATTGTGGAACTATTAGGTACCAGGCATAGTACTAAACTCTCATACATTATTTCTTATCCTTAAACAACTCTCCAAAGTACGATCCCTACTTTACATATGAGCAAACCGATTGAGTGGTGCCCAAGTTCACACACAGCTAATAAGTAATAAACCCCGGGTTGTAAATGTAAGTCTGTTTTGACTTAGAGAACTCATTTCTGCCTCCCCAGCATTCCTTCCTTATTCTGGCAATTAAGCCCAGTTTTCTCCTTTGGGGGAAGTGGCCATCTATCTTGGGGTAGAGTTGGGT